TGTGGTAAATTGTAGTCAATGTCATGAGACAAAGTGTATGTGAACTGCTGTATGGAAAGTGAATTTGCTCTGTAAATTTTCACCCAAATCACACACACACAAAAGATACTGTCCCCCCGAAAATAACATAAAACATCTTTCAGGAATGAAAAAAAATGAGCATCAAATTAATTCATGATAACATTAATCAGAGCTTTCCAAAATCTGTCTAGTTGAGAGCCACATTCTGAAGATCAAGACCCACTTTAGGTAGATTTACACAGAGAAGAGAATGGTGAGCTGTTTGACAAACCTCTCTCAAATACCTAGGGAGCTCTGGTGGCATAGTGCCTCAGGCATTTGACTGCGAAGATTGGTGTTTCAAACCCACCAGCCATTCTGTGGAAGGAAGACCGGGCAATCTACTTCCATAAAGATTTACCCCCTTGGAAACCTAATAAGGGTCTCCATGAGTCAGAATCTACTTGATGGCAGTGGGTTTGATTTTCTCAAATATCTTACTGCCATGTTTCCTGCACAGCAAGCTTCTCCATTCTTCTTAACCCTCCCCCTCTTCCATCACCTAGCTGGGCAGCCCAAAAAATGACATCTGTTTTCCTGAGAAGTTATGGCCATTTATTTTATTGTTATTTGTTTGTTTTTATCATCAAATGATTTTTGTTGTTTTATTTTGTTTTTTTAAAGTTTTTGAATAGGCTATTCATTTATTTACATGTTTCAAAAATTTGAGGTGAAGATATGCTTTCTCTCACCTCTGCCCCATCCAGCCAGCCTCCTCATCATAACAACTTCGGTTAGTGTCTTCTGGATTATGTTCTTTATGGCCATTTATTGACTTCTTTTTATCTGCTTGTCTCTGGGCCTCAATACTATCTCTACACCAGTGGTTTTCAGATTCTAGCTTGCATCAGCGTCACCCGGAGGGCTTGTTAAAGTGCAGGTCGGTGGGCCCATTTCAGGAATTTCTGATTGAGTGGGTCTTGGATGGGGCTTGAGGATTTGCATGTCTAACAAGTTCCTAGGTGATACTGATACTTCCAGTCCTAGTGCTACACAGAGAACCACTGTACCACACTTCCTTTCTACTGTCCTTTGTGAGGTTAACCTTTCTTCTGCCCTTGACCTCGTTCACTTCACCTTTTCTGGTTCCATCACTCAGTTCTTCTTCATAGGATCTTTATTCTCTTTTTCTTCTCTAGTTTTTACTTTGCCAAAAACATACACAAGATTCCCTATCCTGTTTTGTTGTTGTTATGTGCCACTGAGTCGGACCCGACTCATAGCGACCCTTCCTTGAGTTTCCGAGGCAGAATCACTATGGAAGTAGATCGCTCAACCTTCCTTCCAAGGAGTGGCTGGTGGGTTTGAACCACCAGCCTTTCCTAAAAGCACTTTAATTCTACCTACTTTTCCTTCCTTAGAGCTCTAGTGACATAGTGGGAAAGGCATTTGGCTGTTAACCAGAAGGTCAGCTGTTCAAACCCACCAGCCACCATCCACGGGAGGAAGATGAGTCAATTTTCTGCCATAAAAAATTTACAGCCTTGGAAACCCAATGGGAGTCGCTATGAGTTGGAATTGACTTGATGCCAGTGGGTTTTCCTTCCTTAAACTAATATCCAATTTCCTTCTTTTTATTCATTGCTGAATATCAGCATAATTGTTTCCACTATCCTTTCCTCACTACCCACCCTTCAGTCTATTTCTACCCTGAATTATTGAAACTATTCTCTGGATGAATGATTCTCAACTCTGTGCACTGAAATCACAAAGACGGCTTACCAAAACATTGTTGGAGCACACCCCTGATTATTTAAATTAGAATCTTTGTTTTGGATTCCTAAACAAAGGTTACCAAACTTTGGAATTCAGAAGAATCACCTAAGAGACTTAAAATAGTTTAACAAACCTTAGGTGATTCTGATGCTAGAAATCAACAGACTACACTTTGTGAAACATTATCTAAGAAGGTAGATACTTTCTCAAAATCTTTCTCAAAATCACTAAATCCAAGGTCTTCTCTTATTCTCCATTCCACTAAACCTTTTGTTACTGTTCATTGCTCTTTCTGTCTTGAAATTCTCAGCTTTCCATGACATCCTGAAGTAATAGTATTCTAATTGACTTTCTAAACACCTGATCATTCCTTCATGGTGTCAATCCCTTCTCTTCTGAAAACAGTATTGCCCAATTCTAATGGTTCAAAAATTATCTCCATGCTCATGATGCCCAAATTTACATTATTGGCCTCAATTTCTAATCTAGATCATTAATTGCCAGCTCTGGTGGCGTAATGCCTAAGGCACTTGACTGCTAACCAGAAAGCTGGAGGTTCAAATCCACCTCCTCGGAAGGAAGGTTGGGCAATCTACTTCTGTAGTGATGTTGTTGTTGTTGTTGTTATTTGCCATCAAGTCGGCCCCAACTCATAGCAACCCCTCCTTGGGTTTCCGAGGCAGTATCACTACGGAAGTAGGAATGCCCAACCTTCCTTCTGAGGAGTGGCTGGTGGGTTTGAACCGCCAGCCTTCTTGTTAGCAGTCCAGTGCCTTAGGCACTATGCTACCAGAGCTCTCGGAAACCCAAGGAGAGGTTGCTATGAGTCGGAGACAACTCGATGGCACATAACAACAACAACAGACATTTCCTCTGGAATTTACCATCCTTATTTCAACATCATCATAAGTCAACAGGACTTGACCATGAATCTTCTCCTCTTTCTCCTACTCATAAGACAATTTCCTTTCCTAACCTTGGTAAAGGGAGTGCTGGTGGTGCAGTGCCTAAGGCATTTGACTGCTAACCAGAAGGCTGGCAGTTCAAACCCACTAACCACTCCTCAGAAGGAAGACTGGACGATCTACTTCCGTAGAGATACCGCCTCGGAGACCCAAGGAGAGGTCGCTATGAGTCAGGGTTGACTCAACTGCAGTGAGTTTGGGTTTTTTTTTTTTTTTTTTGGTTTAACTAGTCTTAGAAGAGAATGTGGAATAAAATATTTGTTAGAGAATCAATATATTATCTCTTCAAGATAGTATATGCTCTGGAAATACTAAAACTCATCCTTTCTTTAAAAAAAAACAACACCTGGGCTTTATACCAACTGCACATCTGATTTTTCTCACAGTTATTTTTGGCTATTCTAGGGAGCTCTGGTAGCATAGTGCCTAAGGCACTTGACTGCTAACCAGAAAGCTGGCGGTTCAAACCCACCAGACACTCCTTGGAAGGAAAGTTGGGCAATCTGCTTCCGTAGTGACACCGCCTCGGAAACCCCAGGAGGGGTCGCTATGAGTCGGGTCCAACTCGAGGGCACATAACAACAACAACAGGCTAAGCTACAGGCTTGTTATTAATTTGAGAAGAGTCAATAATGAGAGTATGTGTAATTTCTCACCCAAAAAGTAGAATTGCAGAACTCATCCAGCATGATGCCTGCACCTCTGGAATGGAGGTTCTTCTGTTACTATGTTGTTTCTTGTTCCTGCTTTTCCTGAAAGAAGGTGGGCTGTGAGTAGCAATGTCTTAATCTCCCGTTCAGATATACTGATGTTAGGACTAAAGGCAGGTCTCCTGACCTTTCATCCCAACAATTTAATCGTTAACTGTTAGCCTTGCCTGCTACGTGTTTACATTATTGCAGGGAATAGGCATGTGACTGAAGAGGCCAGAGACAGGTAGACTAACCAGTTCCCAAAAGGAACCACTCCAAGATGTCAGCAGAGATGGTTGATAAATCAGGAGTGGAGGAGGCATTCATTCTCCTGAGAACAAATGGCATAAAAAGGAAAGCATAAGTGGAGGGGCACACCTGCCTAAAGCACAACTCACTTCTGTCTTGCCTACCTCCCACCGTCTCTGGTAAATACTAAAGAACATTTATTTCTGTATATTTACTTGTTCGTGCCATTTCATAAAAGTGAGAATATGCAATATTTCTTCTCTTGTAGTGAACTTGTTTTGCTCAACATAATGTCCTCCAGGTTCATCCAACTTCCAAGGTGTTTTGCAAACTCATTTTTGTTTACTGTTGCGTAATATTCCATTGTACCTATATACCACATTTTACTTATCCATTCATCAATTGCTGGACATTTAGGTTGTTTCCATCTTTTTGCTGTTGTGAATAGTGCAGTGATGAACATAGGTGTGCAGATGTTAAATACAAATGTTAACCAGCCCACTCCTTCAGATTTTAAATGAGGAATGTAGAACCTAAAACATGGTTCAAAGTAGCATAGACTTTGAAAAAGTCAGGGTATAAAATATCATGACTACTGAAAACCCAGATAAATATAATTCATATATAATTTATGCAACAAATGTTAAAATTGACTGTCTCTAGATGATAGTTGTTTTTGGTTGCCTCTATTTACTGATTTTTTCATAATTATCTAGTATTATTTGTGTAATTGGATTGACATGGTGGCTGCAGCTATGGGCTCAGGTATGGTGAGGATGGTGAGGCACATGACAACAATTTGTTTAATATTTTAAAAATAATACTTTACTTAGTTTTTGGTGAAGGTTCACTCAGCAGTTTAGGCTCCCATTCAACAACTTCTACACAGGTTGTTTGGCGGCATTAGTTACATTTCTTCACAATGTGCAAATATTCTCATTATTTCCATTCTGGTTGTTTGGTTTCCATTAATCTAGTTTCCCTGCCCTCTTAAATTCTCATCTTTGTTTTAAAGTAACTGTTGACTGTTTGGTTTCGTATAGGTGATTTTTTTTTAAAAGGAACCCTGTACTTGTGCATGATATTAATTATTTTTTGAGTCAAGTTGTTAATAAGTACAAGATGACAACAAAATTAGTTCAGTTCAATGTCTGAAGAGTATCTCAGAGCAGTAGTCTTGGAAAGTCCTCCAGTCTCAACCACTCCTGTTTTTTGTTTTTGTTTTAGGAAGTTGGGGTTCTATCCACATTTTTCTCCCATTGTATCGGGGTCCATCAATCGTGGCCCTGATTAGAACAGTCAGTAGTGGTAACCAGGCACCATCCAGTTCTTTTTTCTTTCTTTCCTTTTTTTTCAAAAATTTATTTATTTATTTATTTATTTTATATTTGCGGTGTTCTATCCCCTCCCCTCCCACCCCTGGTAACCAACAAAGAAAGTTTCCTTCCATATATAAACCTTTCCTTAACTTTTTACAATAATGAACCAATACAATATTTGTCCTTCTGTGATTGACTTATTTCACTCAGCATAATGTCTTCCAAGTTCATCCATGTTATGCAGTGGTCTGCAAATTCTACATTATTCTTTAGTATACTGCATAGTATTCCATTGTGTGGATGTACCATAGTTTGCTTATTCATTCTTCTGCTGATGGACACCTACGTTGCTTCCATCTTTTGGCTATTGTATATAGTGCTGTGATGAACATGGGTGTGCATGTATCTGTATCTCTCACTTCTTTAGGATATATACCTGTAATGGGTTTGCTCGATCAAATGATATTTCTAATTCCAACTTAAGGAATCATCATACTGCTTTCCACAGTGGTTGTGTCATTTCACAGTCTCACTAGCAGTATATGAGAGTCTCAATCTCTCCACCTCCTCATCAGCATTTGTTATTTTCTGTCTTGTTGAACTTTGCCGTTAGTGCTGGGGCAAGATGGTATCTCATTGTTGTTTTGATTTACATCTCTCTAATGGCTAGTCACTCCTCAGAAGGAAGATGGGGCAATCTACTTCCGTAGTGATACTGCCTTGGAAACCCAAGGAGGGGTCGCTATGAGTTGGGTCAGACTCGACGGCACATAACAACAACAACAACAATGGCTAGTGATCATGAACATTTCTTTATGTATTTGCTGGCTGCCTGAATATCCTCTTTAGTGAAGTGTCTATTCATATCTTCTGCCCATTTTTTAATTGGATTGCCTTTTTGTTGTTGAAGTGTTGGAGTTTTCTATAAATTTTAGAGATAAATCCCTTGTCAGATATGCCGTTGCCAAATATTGTTTCCCAGTCTGTAGGTTCTCTTTTAACTCTTTTGGAGAAGTCTTTTGAAGCACATAAAAATGTAATTTTTAGAAAGTCCCATTCATCTAGTTTATCTTCTGCTGTTTGTGCACTTTGGGTTATGCTTGACAGTCTATTTATGACATAAATTAGGTCTCCTAAATTTGACCCTATTTTTTCCTTGAGGAACTTTATAGTTTTAAGTTTCACATTTAAGTCTTTGATCCATCTGGGGTTAGTTTTTGTGTATAGTGTGAGTTATGGATCTTGTTTCATTTTTCTACAAATGGATATCCAGTTTTGCCAGCACCATTTGTCAAAGAGACCATCTCTTCCCCATTTAATGGATTTCAGCCCTTTGTCAAAAATCAACTAACCATAGGTCGATGAATCTATTTTGGGCTCTCAATTCTGTTCCACTGGTCTATATTTCTGTCATTGTACCAATACCAAGTTGTTTTGACTACTGTGGCTGTATAGTAGGTTTGAGATCTGGGAGTGTGAGACCTCCTACTTTGTTCCCAATCTAGTTCTTTTGGTCTCAAGGTAAATGAGATCATGGTTCATGTAGTTTATTTGTTCTATAGACTAGTTTCTTCTTTTCTCTTTTGCTCTGGACAAGTAGAGATCAATATTTGTGTCTTAGATGACCACTCACAAGCTTTTAAGATCCCAGACACTTCTCACCAAACTAGGATATAGACCATGACTTTATGAACTATATTATACCAATTGAGTGAGATGTCCCATAAACTATGTATGGTCCTAATCCTTCAAACCCAGAAATCCAATCTTGCAAGGTGTTTGGTTATGTCTAAGAAGTATCCATGACTATGCCTGCTTTGTGCTTTTTTATCTATATGAATATATGTGCATATAGTCACATAGAAGCACACACACATATAGATATATAATACTTATATACACACACATATATATATACACATACATATATATATATACACACACACATATATATACACACATACATATATATACCAAACCAAAAAGCTCACTGCCATTGAATCAATTCTGACCCATAGCAACCCCCACTGGGTTTCTGAGGTGGTAAATCTTTACAGAAGTAGATTGCCCCATCTTCTTTCTGTGGAGTGGCTGGTGGGTTTGAA